CGTGTAAACTATCACATAATTCACAATAAAACTTTTAAAATAAAGAGCTAAGATAAACAAAAATAAGATATTTTCAATGAAGAAGTCATTGATCTTGAAAAATTCAAACAAAAAAAAAAAGCGGGGGTGGGGGGGAATACAAACAGAATTCTTAGTACTCTTGGACTCTAGCTAGACTTTCTGGAGCCATGGAGGGTTGATGAATCCCTGAAACTGTTGCCCTGATATTGTCTTTAAACTTTAGACCAAAATTATCCCTTGTAGTCATCTTGAAATTGAATAGTTTCACTTACATAATAGAATAGGGCTGTCTGTGCTCTTTTAGGAGTCCTGGTGTGGGTTAATGCACTGGATTACAAGGTCTGTTTGAACCTCAGAGTTGGAAGTTCAAGTTTCCCAGTTGCTCCTGGGAAGAGCTATACAGGATTGCTATGAATTGGATGGTGCTTAACAACAACATGCTCTTTTAACATCTATACGGGATCAAATTGACTAGAAAGATGAGATAAGCACCTTAGGGTACAGTGAGTTTATGTTAATGGAGGGAAGAATAATTCGGAAAAGGAGGATGAAAATGATTGAATAACTTGTAGAATGTAATCATTGTCACTGAATTGTATTTGTAGAACATGTTGCATTAGTGTACTTTTTGCTGTGTATATCCTGAACAAAGACAAACTAAAGTTTAAAGGAAGGAAAAGAAAGGATGAAATTAGAATGACAGAAAATGAGATTTGATGTAAGGTAAACATATAGTTGTTTCAGGAAATAGCATGTTTGGTGTGTTTTTTTTTTTTTCTTTTTTCATTGGTCCAAGTAATAGCTGCATTTGCCTTGAGATACTTCTAAAATCAAGTCTCTAAGTTGACGGTGCACCTTTTTTTTTTTGGTCTAATTTAGGTGTATACTCTTGATGTACCAGATGCGTTCTATTATTGTTACAGCCCAGACCCTAGTAATGTAAACGAAAAAGATGCCATTATGGAAGTGATGGCTGAGCAGATAGTTACAGTGTGTGCCACCCTGGATGAAAATCCTGGAGTAAGATATAAAAGGTAGGACACTAAATAGTGTCTGGGTTTGTTATGCTTTCTGTTTGCCATCCATTATACAGGTAAGTGATGCTCTATAATATGTAATGGTTTTCAGAATTTATTTTTCCTGTAAAATTATGTTGTGATCTGTGGGATTTAAAGCATAAGTCTTAAGTGTCAAACTAACAAATAGTCTTTGTTATTGAATTTCAGAACTTTAATTTGGTGTGCTTTACAGACATTTGTTTTCATGGCTTTAAGGAAAGCATTGACGAATTAGGTCTTTGTTGTCATGTATGGAATACAGTCTTACATTTAATATTTTAGCACAAATTTCTACCAAATTTAAAAAGTCTTATTTTTAATGTTTCTAAGTCCAGTGTCCATTCTAAATAGATTTTTTTTTTAAAAGGAGATTAAGTTTGTCATTCATGCTAAACTTTTATTTATTTGCTTGTTTTTAAAAGTGAAGTTTGGTGAAAAGTGCATAAATTATATTTATACTGCTCAGTAAATTATCCCAATGTGAACATACCCATGTAACCTGACCCAAGCCAAGAAATAAAATATTAACAGCATCTCAGCGTTCCCACTTGTAATTCACTCACCACTCCCTTTCTTGTACCAAAGGTAGCCTCTGTCCTGACTTTTAACACATGGATTGAAGAAGTTAATTGTTGCAAAGCACTCAGAACAGTACATTACAGTAAGAAAAGTAGGAATAGTAAATGCACTGTAGTGCTACTAATGTTGTTGTTAAAGTGCTGTCAAGTCAGGTCAGACTCATAACGACTCTGTATCGAGTCCTAGGAGAAATGGGTGGAGCTGAACTGCTGACCTTGCAGTTAGCAGTGCATTGCTTACCCTAGAGTGCCATACTAGGACTACTAATAAGTATTAATTCTATTTTTTTCTAAATATTATTTATTTTGTTGTTGAGAATATACATAGCAAAATAAGCACCAATCCAACAGTTTCCATGTGTCCAATTTAGTAACATTGATTACATTCTTATAAGTTGTACCTCCATTCTCACCCTCCTTTTCTGAATTGCCCCTCTTTCATTAACATAAATTCACTGCCCACTAAGGTTCTTAACTTAATGTTTCTAGTTGCTATTGTCAATTTGATCCCATAGAAGAGCATAATGCTCAAGGCAGACCTATTTTACTAAACTATTAATTCAGTTTCAAGATGACTTCATGAGATATTTTTGGTTTAAGGTTTAAAGGTGATCTCAGAACAATAGCTTCTGGGATACATCCACTCTCTATGGCTCTAGAAAGTCTGGAGTCCATGAGAATTTGGAATTCTGTCCTGTGTTTTTGCTATTTTGATAAAGGTTTTCTATGGAATATTTTATTAAAATGATCAGTAATGGTGACCAGACACCACTCAGTTCTTCTGGTCTGCTGGCAGAGGCCATTTTCCATAAAGCTGCGCTCCTTTTCCTGATTTTCCTCCTCCCTCTGTTGTTTCAGGTAAGCAGAGACTAATTACTGTGCCTTGGATGGCCATTTGTAAGCTTTTAAAGCTCCAAGCACTATACAGTGAACTAGGATGTAGAACAAAAGCACCAAATAGGTGATTAAACCAGTTAACTGGGATGTCCCATGAAACCATGACTCTCAAAGACCCAAATCCCAGGAGTTATTTGGTTGCGCTCATATATTAGCAACTTTAGCAGCTACTTTTTTTTTTTTTTTTTTTTTGGAGGGGGGGGGTTGTTTTTGTAAATCTCTCACACAACTTTTGCTTAAATGAGCCTATCGTTAAATTTGACAGCAATTACAATGATTGACTGTGCAACCCTACCCTTCATGCGTTTTTTTCCATTACTCGTTCTCTTCCACCCCACCACCTCCCACCCCCCGTTCCTTGGTAACTATTAATAAACTTTGGTATCTGTACATTTGCCTTTTCATGACTTTTTTTGTAAGCAATGTCATGCTGTATATGTCCTTTTGTGATTGACGTATTTCTTTCAGCAAGAATTCTTCAAGCTCCATCCATACTGTAGCTTATAGCAAGACTTCATTTCTCCTACTGGTTCAGTAGTATTCTGTTGTATGTGTGTACCACCTGTTGTTTATACTTTCATGTGTTGATGTTTCTACATTCATGGGTTGCTTCCACCTTTTCGTTATTGTGAAGAATGTTACAGTGAACATTGCCATACAAGTCTGTTTCTGAGTCTCTGCTTTCAAATCTTTTGGGTATATAACTAAGAGTGGAAATGCTGGGTCATTTGGCAGTTCTATTTTTAGTATTTTGAAGACACACCACATTGTTTTCCATAGTGGCTGTCCCATTTTGCATTCCTACCAACATTGAATAATCACAACTCTAAAGTTTAATTTCCCCACAGCTTAAGTATATCAGTCCTCTTTTAAAAGGTTCTTTAATTAGAACATTGCCATTTATCAAGTTAGTATTTGAACTGTTAAATTGCAAATGATGTATACTTTACATTTAAGTTACATTATTCTTAAGGAGCTCTGGTGGTGCTGTAAGATAGGCACTGGAATGCTAACTGCAAGGTTGACAGTTCACACCCACCAGCCAGTCCAAAGGAGAAAGTTGAGGCATTCTCCTCCCATAAAGATTGACAGACCCAGAACCCCTATGAAAGGTTGCTGTGAGTTGGAATTGAGTCAATGGCAGTAAGTGATTCATAACTGTTTTTTTTTAATCCTCTGTAATTACTTAGAAAAAGAATGTATGTGTCTCCTTAATTAGGATATTATCAAACAAGCGCTTTACTCATACCTCAGATACTAGAAACATTACTTTTCTTATAAATACTATACTGATTACATTCTGTGTGGATCATGACAAGTTAAGAATAACTTTGTGAAGAATGGGTATTCCAGAACACTTAATTGTGATCCTAAGGAATCTGTACACAGACCAATAGGCAGTCATTCAAACAGAACAATTAGAAATGGAATGGTTTAAAATCAAGAAAGGTGTGCACCAGGTTGTATTATTTCACCATACTTATTCATTCTGTATGCTGAGCAAATAATCTGAGAAGTTGGAATATATGAAGAACATGGAATCAGGATTGGAGGAAGACTCATTAACAACTTGTTGTATGCAGATGATACAACCTTGCTTGCTAGAAGCAAAGAAGACTTTAAATACTTACTAATGAAGTTCAAAGACCACAGCCTTCAGTATGGATTACACCTCAATGTAAAGAAAACAAAAATTCCACAACTGGGCCAGTAAATAACATCTTGATAAATGGAGAAAAGAGTGAAGTTGTCAAAGACTTCATTTTACTGGGATCTATAATCAGCACTCTTGGATGCAACAGTCAAGAAATCAAAGTGTTCAAGAGCAAAAATATCAGTTTGAGGGCTTAGATGTATCTGATACAATTCATGATATTTTTAATGGCTTCATATGCATGTGAAAGTTGGACAAAGATTAAGGAAGACTATAGAAGAATTGATGCATTTGAGTGGTAGTGTTGGAGAACAATATTTAAAATACCATGGATTGCCAGAAGAACAAATTAATCTGTCTTTGGAGAAGTGCAGCCAGAACACTTCGTAGAAGTGAGGATCATGAGGTGTGTGTGTATTTATACACACATTAAGGACTTCAAAAAGTTTATGGAAATATTCTATTAGCTTTTAATTGCATTTTCTCATGAACTTTTGGAAATCCTTTTCTATACATAACGTATTCCTCACTATTTTGTTACTAACATTTCACATTTATGACAATAGTGAAAAATCTATTATCCAACTATTTGCACATTAATGATGTACATCTGCATCAGTAAACACTGAGGTGAGAGTAATATGGTTGTGATGGTTCTAATTATGTGTCAGCTTGGCTGAGCCATGATTCTCAGTGACTTGGTAGTTTTGTAATGATGTAGCCATCTTCCATTTTTACGTAATGCTGATTTTCACATAATGACTTGGACTTTGGAACCTAACCAGGCCATTAAGTTCCTCAGAGGAGTGGATGTATATAGGGAAATAAAGGGATAACAGAAGTTACTAGAAAAGTACACTAGTAAATTTATGATGGTGGTTATCTTAGATGGATGTGTAGGGGAAAGGACCAAGACTTGGAAGGGAAAGAATGGGAACTGCAACTTTCTTTGTAATATTTTATTTCACTTATATTAAAAATACGGAGTCCTGGTGTGGCTCTATAGGATAAGCACTGGACTTCTGACTAAACGATCTGGTTCAGGCCCACCAGCCACTCCTTAGAAATTATATGGTGGTGCTTTGAGTTGGAACCCACTTTATGGCACTGATCGGCATCATCGTATTAAAAACATCTGAAGCAAATAAGGCAAGATTTACATTTGTAAATTCTAGACCAAGCCAGAAGACCCAGACTCTGCTGTTGAGTTGATTTTGACTCTTAGCCATCTTAAAGGACAGAGTAGAACTGCCCCCCTAGGGTTTCAAAGGCTGTAATCGTTATAGTAGCAAACTGCAGCCTCTTTCTTCTGCGGAGCAACTGGTGAGTTTGAGGCTCTGACCTTTCACAGTGCTTAACCACTGCACCACCAGTGTCCATTAAATTCCAGTCATATGGGTATAAGGAAAATATGTTTGATACATTACCGAACGTTTCCATGTTTATTAAAATTTTCAGGTTAATATGTTTTATAGTTTCATTTAAAATTTTAATTTTATGATGCTATAAACTATGTCACAAAATAATAATGTTTAAATTTTTTTTGTTTTCTAGCAAACCTTTAGATAATGCCAATAAACTTGCACAGCTTGTTGAAAACAAACTTGAAAACTACTACAAGCTTGATGAAAAGAGCCAAATAAAGGTATTGTATAAGAGGCAAAGTCATTATGCATAAAGTCTGTCGTATGTCTTTGTAAACCAAAGACACTGTTTATTCATATGTTAACATGATTTGGGAATCCTTCACAAAGATGGCAGTGGACACCAGAGTGTGGTTTAGTGGGAGAAAATAATGGGTTTTGAAGAAGCACTGTGTCCAAATATTGGCACTGTTATGTCAGTTTTGGCAAACTGTATAGCTTCTCTCTATCTCACTTTCCTTATCTCTACAACAGGGATAACACGAGTATACTTTTTCTTAGAAGCTAGTGAGAGGATTGAGTTATTTATTACATGTAAAGCTCTTAGAGTAATGCTTGCCATTGAGTACTTAGTTAATAAATGTAGATGTTACAAGTTCTGTGACCCTGAGAAAATTCTTTACTCTAAGTTTGTTTTTCCATCTATAAGATGGATTTGATAACATGTAAGTACATAAGTGTTAGCATGTCTAGGAGTTTAATAAATGACAGCTGTTGCTATCTCTAAAGTGATAGAAGGCTAAGATTGGAACCTGAAGAATACCAGCTTTCAGGATTGGGTTAGAGAACTAAGAGACTGAAAGATGCCATGCCAGAGAGCTGGGAAGCCATATTACAGTAACTGAAGAATGAAAAGGAAGAACTCATGAGAGTTTGGTGGTGGTGGTTATGTGCCGTGGAGTCAGTTCTGTCTCATAGTGACCCTGTACAGGGTTTCCAAGGCTGTAAATCTTTA